TTTACCTAGTAAAAGGAACATAGTAAGCACTCAATAAATGCCAGTTCCTTCCTCTTTTAGCTCTAGGCCCTCTGTTCTTTGTTCTCTACACTCAGTCCTCCTGATGACTCAGCCCTCTCAGGACTTTTACTAGCAAATGCTGAAAACTACTGGATCCATCAAGGCCCTGATGTGTGTGTGCACGCCCACAGTGTGAGGACACTTTCTGACCCCGCCCCTAAGACACTCGGGAGGACAGAGCAGAAAGCCCCAACATGGGACCTTCTTCATAGACACATCCCCACCGGCCTCCCTCTCCAGGAGATCTGCCCTACCACTCAAAGTGCCTGAAATCACACTAGTTATTCTCTCTTTAACAAAAAAAAAAATCAGGGCCTCTTCCTAATCCTTTTCTTTTCTGAGTGGTGTCTGCAGTGAATAAGCCTTGATCCATCTTTCCCCTACCCAAATAATGCTGAGTAACTGAGACCTGTCGGGTTTACCTTCACAATCCCTACTGCATCACTAGCCTTATTTTCTATCCCTCTGCCACCACCAGAGCCGAGGTCAGCGTCTCGGTCTCAGCTGTCATGACACTTTTGGGCCAGACAACTGTTGCTATGGGGGGTGTCCTATGAACCGTAGCATAGTCAGCAGCATCTCTGGCCTCCACTCACTACACGCCAGCAGAACCACTCCCCTACAAGTTATGACAAGCAAACATGTCTCTGGACATTGCCAGATGCCCCCCACTGGGGCAAAAACCCAGCTCACCACTGCCTCCCCTCACCCCACACTTGAGTGCCACTACCCCACTTCCTCACCTCATAGGTGTGACACCAAATAAGTCCCTCAGTTAATAACCCTCCACTGCTTCCCTCTAACTAGCACAGCTGTGACCAAGGCCTCTTCGAGCACAGCTTTTATGAGTCATCTCTCTTGAATCTGCTACAATACTCCCTGTCACCTTCACAGTTGTTCAACCCCCCACCCTGCCTTGATAATCTGGCTTCAATGAAATATTATCCCACAAGCCTCTATACACAGCGGCTACTCAGCAGTCCTTCAAGAACACGCCCTTCCCTGTTCTACCGCGGTCGCTCTGGTTTGGATGCCCGTTCCAGACTGTATAAGGCCTTCTTCCACAGCCTCTAATTTCCCTAACACTCAAAGCCAAAAACTGTCAATGGGTCTCCAGTGCCCACGGAAGGAGGTATGAAATCTGCAGGTTTTTCAATCTTTGGTTATATGGTCTCTTTCTTACTCTATATTCCATGACCCAAAACACACTCTACCTTCTGCTCCTAAGCAGTCCACCTTTGGTCATGTTACTTCTCTACTTGGGAGCCTATTTATCCCACTCTGTACCCCACCTTAAAGTCCATCTAAATCCAGTAAAGAAAGCCTTTCCTATTCATACTTCCTTGTTATGTAACGCACTGCCCCTCTCCTATGGCATGCACATTCTACTTTACGCTATACATGAGGATCCCATAGTATACAAGCCCCTCTATAGTTTCTTACCTGTCTTTGAAACCCTGCTATGCTTAGGCAGAGAACTCAGAATCCTGAATTGTCCCAAATGTGTCTTATTTGGAAAGCAATGGCATGTTGTCTTCAGAAAAAACCAAACTCCCTTAAAAAAAAAAAACTGAACCCAACAGGACATGGTGATGCTCACCTAACTACTCCTAAAGCTGAGGCAGGAGGATTGCAAATTCAAGGGCAGCCTAGGCAACTTAGCTAGACCCAGCCGCAAATAAATAAATAGGGTTAAAAATGTATTTCAATGCCAGACGAGGTGAGTAGCATGTGCAGGTCTCTACGTTCAAGCACCAACACCACCAAAATGAAGAAAGAAACTAAGCCCAAATTTCCCTTTGTCTCATATTTCTGTGTCTTACGCTAATTTGTACTAGGTAAACTACCTTCAAGATACCCAGATTGCTACTTAACTTAGGTTTAGTATCTCTTTATCTGAAATTATTAAAACCAGAAATGTTTTGTATTTTCAGTATTTTTTTTTCAGATTTGAGAATTTTGCTATATATATAATCAAGCACTTTGGGGCTAGGCTCCAAGTCTAAACACTAACATCATTTGTTTTATATGCACCATACTCCTAGCCTGAGAGTGATTTTATATAATGTTTCATAACTTTATATTTTGTTTCATTCAATTTTATATAATGTTTCATAAGCCAGTGAATGGCCTGAAATTTTCCACTTGTGGTATCATGTTGGACCCCAAAAGTTTTGGGTTTGGTAGCATTTCAGATTTTGGATTTTCAGATCAGGGATGCTCAACCTGCATTATTATTGTGAGAGTTCTGCTGCAGGGAGTTCCTACAATTTGTGACTTGTAACTGCATCCTAAATACTGTACTTAAGCTACTTAAGCTTTCTTGTTATACAAAAAGCCAAAACATTTATGAATGTTAACAAAATATAAAAATAACTCAGACTGGGTTAAATATTTTCAAGAAAAGTTTAATTGATAATAATTGGTCCAGGGGCTGGGGATTTAGCTCAGCGGCAAAGCGCCTGCCTGGCAAGCGCAAGGTTGTGAGTTCGGTTCCCAGTACCGGAGAAAAAAAAAAAAAAAAAAAAAAAAAATTGGTCCAAAATAACACATTTAATATTCTATATTAAAAATTGTGAAGTTTATTTTATATCTCTCTGCCCCAAAGCCATAAACCAGAATAGAACACGGGAGGCCTCTTAATTTTAGTTCCTAACTGACCTGAAGGTATGTTTCAGTATTTCTACACACTGAGCTGGGGATTTAGCTCAGCGGCAAAGCGCCTGCCTGGCAAGCACAAGGTCGTGAGTTCGATTCCTAGTACTGCGGAAAAAAAAAACAAAAAAAAAAACAGTATTTCCACACACAAAAAAAGGGATGACCATTAACCGGTAGGGCCTGACCAGACCTCTTCCTGTAGCAGTTCTACCCTAAATCTATATGGAGACTATGGTAGCCCACTCTACCACCACTCTATACCAGATATGGCAAACTATAAGGCCTGCTTTGTATGTTCCTGTCTTAAAAATAATTTTCACTTTTTTTTTTTTTTTCTCTTTTTGAGACAGGGTCTCACTGTGCAGTTCAGGGCAGCTGTGAGCTCACTTTGCAGCTCAGGCTGGTCTCGAACTCCCAAAGATCCTCCTGCCTCAGCCTCCCGAGTGCTGGGATTACAGGCATGCACCACCACGCGAGGCTGATTTTCACATGTTTAAAAGGTCATAATAACAGATATGACACAGACTACATGTGTGGCCGAGAACGCCTAAAATATTTACTATTTGTCCCTTTCAACTGCACGAATCTGGGGCTCCTACTTGTCCTTCATTGGTACCTTCAACCCTTGACTTGTCTCCCCAAGGTTTTAAAAAGCAATATAGGGCTGAGGATATAGCACAGCGGCACAGTGCCTGCCTGGCAAGCACAAGGTCGTGAGTTCGATTCCGGGTAACAAAAAAAAAAAAAAAAAAAAAAAAAAAAGTCTGTAACAACAACTCCTTCAACTTGGTCAGTTAGGAACTTCATTCTACACACGAACATGCAGTGCTCAGACTGAAGAGGCAAAGCGCCCGACCCTGACAGAACAGTGCTAGCGAGAAAGAAAAGTGGAGTCAAAAGCTTTCAGAACACTGGCCCAGTGCCCCGCACTCCACTACTTTGCACCTATGTGTCAGGCTTTACGTTCTGAAGCTTTGGATAACTGGCTCGGATCAATAAAAAGATGAAAGCTTAAAACCTGTTCCTGACATACAGTTTAGACTGACTCGTACTAGCAGCTATGAATCATTAAACATTAACGCTCCCCACATACATTAGATAAGAACTTTAGGACGCCTTCTGTTTTAAGAACAGATACGATTAAATAAAAGGCTTAAATTTAACTCTACTTGCTGCTCCAAGGCCACAGATTGAAGCAAATATGCATATTTCACTTGCAGCTGCCTCAATACTATGCTGTAACCGAAACCCACAAGTTCTTCTAAATATGATCAAATGTCCATTGGAAAACACCATTCCGTTTTCCTCAGCCGTACGTTCTACGAACAATTACTAGTTCTTTTCTTATCTGCTTGCAAACTATTAGCTAGAAGCTCCAATTTCTTAATCTCCCTAAGAATTTTGCTTCCTTAAAAATACTGCTTCTTCGGGGCCAGGAGCAGAGTGCTTGCCTAGCATGTGCAAGGCGCCAGTACCGCAAAAACAAACAAACAAACAAAATTAAAAATAAAAAAATTTTTAAAAACCCTGCTTCTTGGGATTCCTGAATGTACACAATTGACTTTACCGCTTAATTCAAAATCTATCGGTTAATTCAAAATTTCATACACCATTCTGCCCATACTGACAACTTTACTACTCTGCAGGATGCAAAGGGCTATGCATCTACTACGATCTGGGGTTAAAGCACGTTAACCACCCAGGATCCCGCAGAAAGGTGCTCTTCCAGGGCTGAAAAATACGC